ACAGAAGACTGAGTTTGCAGACCACCACATGGATACATCTACCCATGCAACCTGGAGAAAGGCACACAGTGGGGATGGGGAACGTCGGTGGTTCCATATAAGACGGGATTGACATTGTGGGGAGCTCACGCCGCTGCCTAATTGAAACGTGGGCTTTACTGAAGCAATTACCCAATGCATCAATTGTCTGGTTTGCACTCCATCCTAGAAAAGAGGAGTATCGTCTTCCATAGTGCAAGGGAGGAAAGACAAAGCATCACACCACGAGTATACTGATAAACCCCCCACGTCGGGATCCAAAAGCCAAGCAGGACGCCGCAAGAATGTAAAGAGACAACGACAGCAAGCATCCTCAGGTCACCCACGCCATCACGAGACGGTTACACCCTGCATCCTGATGCCTCTCAACAAAACGCAAGATAAGGACGATGGGGCGATATGGAATAACTGCAGGACCCCTTCCCCCTCTCTGGTACCTAATTATGACTAGAATCTGGCCGCTTTGATCCATTAATACCTCTCTCCATCTAGTAACCACCGATTGGTTGCTTAAACTTTTGTTAAATCTGCCCGCTTTTGTATTATTGTATTTCCCTGATGATGAACTAATTGAAACCGTTCGTTCGCCTGACTTGACTTCCGTTGGTCGCACAGACAAAAACAATCCTTAAATATAACTCGACGAAGAGAGGGCTCTTATGTGAGGCCCTATTCTCCACGTTAATGGGGAACGGGAGTGAGACACAGATAGATGTGATTTGAATAAGACAAGTATGGTGATGAGCTTACAATGAGTGAAGCAAGCTCCTTCCTCGCAGTGGCCGCCTGATGGCGTGTGATGGGTTTGGCCAGACCAAAGTCACCAATCTTCACGTGATCTTCCGCGTCCAGCAGGACGTTAGCCGGCTTCAGATCGCGATGGATCACACCCTTGGAGTGGATGTAGGCCAGGCCATCGGCGAGCTCACGGAACAGGCTCCAAGCTCGATCGGGGTTCGAGGAGAGATTTTCGTGGTCAATGACGCGACGAAGGGTCTTGGCGGCACACAGTTCCATCTGGATGATGATGTACTAAAAGAAATCGAGAAAGGG